TGTTTTTAAATATATTTTTAATTTGTATGATAAATAAATATTTTTAATTTTAAAAATGAATAAAATAATAATATTTTATTTAAATATATAACTTAATAAATATATTTAAGTATAAAGAAAATATAACACAATAGATCTAATAGTATTTAGCTATCTTATACGAAATATATATTTTTTTATATATATTGAATATTCTATAGTTTCAATACAATTCTATTTTTCTATTTTTCAATAGTACAAAAGAATACAATTACAATAATAATAGTAGCTGATTGGAATTAAAAATAATTATGATAAAAAATAATTTTTTTTAAAAATACATATTAAAATAATATTAATATGTTGAAATAATAGTTTTGTAATTTTGAACATATATAAAAATGTTTGTAATATATTGTATAAAATTACAATATAATTAATTACAATTATTAATATAATTAGGTTATATACATACATTACATTTTGTATATTTTTAAATTTTATTCTATTCTATATTTATTTCATATTACATTATGTATATTTTTAAATTTTATTCTATCTATATTTATTTCACATGTATTATACAATATTTTAGAATAAATTGCATATTTGATAATCTTATAACTATATAGAATAAGTTTAAATTTTATTAAATCTAATACCTGTTTTAAATTCTATTATTTTAAATTATAATTGTTTCTTAAATAACAAATTATAAAAAATATATGCTGTATTTGCAAATTAATAAATAGATTTTTTTTTTAAGTCGTAATTATTTGAATTTCAAATGTTAATAATTATTGGACTAACTTAACATTAAAATTAGTGATGGCGCTTCATATGAGTCTAAGAATTGAAACAACACCAAAACTTTGACTATAAAAGATAGATCATAATAGAAATCATAAAAACTTTTTCAATGATTTGTTATATAATTATTGATTTATTAATAAAAATTTAAAATTTTTTCTAAAATATTTTTAATGAATTTTAAAAAAATATACATAATTTGGAAGACAATATTTAGTATCACGTAGTAGTTGCTATGTCGATAATGTCGTTGAGCTTAATACAGCAAGGTTCCGGTAATTCGGTGAATGTGCTCTTTTCAAACATGGAGAGGTTACTTTTTTGAAATAATATGTGGAAATTAGGAAATCGGAGTGTCATCGTGTTAGTAAGTGTGTTGAGTGGGTGCGTGTTTCTGTACAACGTTTGGGGGCCGATACTTATTCTTACGATTTCATTGTTTTTTACAATCTATGCGTGTTACTCTTTGATTATTAACGACAGCTTATTGTCGCCGCACGCGTTCCTTCTGCTTGATTACTGCAAACACTTTTTTTCCGAAGTTCGTACAAGTTTTGAGACTATTATCGATCACATATATCAATACATTCGCCAATTTTTGGAAACTGCAAATCATCAATTTCGAAAACGATACCTAACCCAAACCTATTCTAGGATGGAAAGACGTCGAGGATTGAATTATCAGCTTAGCAGTGACTCTTATCCAACTAGGAAAAACTCTGCCCACTTCGAACCGATTGCAGAGCTTAATCCAATTTCAAAAAATTTACAAAAAGCCAATTTGTCAGATGATATTAATTTTAAAAATAATTTTTATCATAATTCTGATCACTCTCCTTATGATCATAATTCTTTTATAACTAAACGTACTTCGATACGAACATTTCCACGTAATAAAGAAGAATTAGAAAATCAAACATTCAAATTATCACCTTGTGGTCAAATGTTATCGAAAAGAGCATCTCCTATATATGGACAGAATCATATGATGCAATTGGAAGATACAAAATACTTTGATGCTGAAAGTTCTTCATGGAATTTTCGTACAAATTCTAAAGCAGATACGAAAACAGAAGAAAGAACAGATGTTCAAGTAGTTACAGGACCTCTTTTATCATCAACTAGATATAATATTGATCCAAAGTAAGTAAAAAATTAATTTGTTTTTTCATAAATCTTTATGATTCTATATATTTGCATAAATTATATAGAAATATTATAACAATTATTACAGAGTATATAATGATGTAACCTCACCTGGACTTACAAGTCGATTAACTAAATATGTGGCTGAAGCCAATAATAAATTAACTCATCAATCTAAATATCATGTAGGACAATTTCCGAAAGTAAATCTTCATGCTACTTCAGTTCCATTGATTAATGCAAAATCTATGAAGACAAGAACACCAGTGACAGTTAGAGTAGCACCATCTCATACTATACGATGTTCTCCATCAAAACAAAACATTTTGACAAATTCACATCAGTCAGATAGTAGTTGCTTCTCACCTAGTGTTGCTCAAGCTTTAAGAGAAATTTCATTGAAGAGACATGCATCAAGAGAAGATGTTACTTCAGATTTAGCAAAGAAACAACGAACAGATGGTATTATTAATAAGAAATTTGAAACACAAGATGAAACAAAACAAAAAAGAAGCAGAGAAGAATCCCTGAAATCAGAAGATGATACATCTCCCCAAAGTAAAACTATTCGACCAACGAAACGAACTAAAACACCATCATGTTATGATATTATAAATTCACTTAGTTCTAGTAAGCATGTTGTTTCTGGTGTCAAAAGAAAAGCTAGTAAGTAATAGTAAAGAACAAAATTATTTATAATGTTGTAAAAATAAAACATTTTATTATAGATTTATCTTATTTATTGTAGGAGATTTTTCACGGAGTGGAACACCAGATTTTGAAAAACATTTTAAATCTTTGGAATGCGTACAAAATGCTAGTACACAAACATTAGTGCAAGTTCCAAATGCAAGTCCGAGACATCATAACCATGAGATAACAGAAAAGAAAAATAATTCAGATATGTGTAAAGATGTGTCTGTTGAGAAATTACCAGAATATTCTCCATTAAAGGGAATTCTAAAAACAAGTAATAAAAGCATAGAATATGAATCAGATGATAATTTCGTTCAGACAAAATATTTAAACATGCAAAATAGTGATAAAGATCATTCGATAAAATCGATGATAGCTACAGATTCGACAAAGTTAACACACAAGTTATTTATGAGAGCAGAACCAGAAAGAAATGAAAAGTTACGAATGTTGGTCGAAGAACAAGGTAATATACGAGCAAAATTTACTACTGATGATGTAGAAGAAATAAAAAAAGAAGATATTGCCGATATGAGACAAACAAGCATGAGGGCAAGACTTCAGAGTATGTTTGATGCCATATCTGGTAAAGGTAAGCAAATTTAATCTATAAATATATTGATTTTTAATTTAAGACTAACTATTCATTTGCGATTTTTAGCGGCTAGTCAAATAAATCCAGATGTGGTAATTCAAGCGGAAGAAGTAAATATTGTTAAACCTGTTGCATGTCCTGTCACTTGTGTGACACTTAATTCTTCAACTACTACAACAAACGTCAATACCACACCCATTTCTACATCGGCTGTAGCTCCTAATCCTGGTACTAGTGAATTCAATACAAAGTCACCAAAACACGTGACTTTTAATTTATCAGATAAAGATAGTTCCTCAAATACAAATGTCCATTTTGCTACTATATTTAAGAGTAAAAACGAAAACATTTCGACTTCCGCAAGTAAAATAGATAATGCTGCACCCAAAATTACATTAACCAATACGAAATCCGAAATTATATCTCAATCTGTTATTTCGAATACAACTACATCCAGTCCAATAAGTTCGAATGTACAAACATTTAATTTCGATAAGTCAGCTTCGGTTACATCAACGGTAACTACTTCGCCAATAAGTGCTGTAGATACAGTTTCTGCAAATAACAAACCTCTTTCAGTTATTTCTGCAACAACTAGCATTTTTGGAAATTTTATAACTACTACTCCAATATCTTCACCAGTTTCTTTGAGCACAACTATAGCAAATGCGAAAACTGAGGCGAATCAAAATATCTCGAAATCAATTTCCCAAAGTACAACAATTGATTCAAATTCGAACGTATCGATTGGAAATAATAACATAATTTTCACATCAACTCATTCGAATTCAATGACTTCAAACACTGTTGCAAAAACCAAAGAACAAAGTATAGAATCAACATCGATTGCTACTAAGATAAATATGACGCCATTTACGAGTATTACAAATGTTGCTAATTCGAATAATACATCAACTACAACATCGACTATAACTACATCAATTGTATCTACATCAAATGTAACCACGTCGACTCCACTATTTACGTTTGGAAACAACGCTAATAAACAAGTAATGACATCCAAATCAGAAGGATTTGTGTTTGGTTCAGTAGGAAAAACATCAGAAAATAATGGAGCGTTTGGGTGTTCGACTACATCTCAGCAGGTTTCAATAATTACTAACACAGTGATGACATCTTCGAATAATCAAAGTAATACGCAAACTAATTCTATCACGAATATCACAACTAGTACCGGTTTTCAATCGAATGCAAAAACTAGCATTCCTACTTTTGGATCATCGACAAATTCGACTTTTGTATCTTCTACCATCTCATCCGCAAACGATAGCAAACCTGGATTTTCTTTCAATAATATATCATCAGCAGCAAATACAGTGACTGGGAATTCAAATACAACTTTATTTACTATTGGAAATAATAATTCGAATTCGAGTTTCGGAACATCTTCAATAACTAGTTGCAACACAGCCCAATTTGTTTCAAATACTGGTTCCATATTCACTAATTCACCATCTACGCAATCTATCTTTGGTGCAACGACGACAAATTCAAATCAATCAGTTTTTGGTACACCTTCCAGTTCAAACACCACAACAGCTATCTTTACTCTTCCTAAGAGCACAATTACATCAGTTTTTGGTTCCAATGTTTCCACTACTTCAACAGGATTCGCATCTACGAATTCAATGCCAATTTTCTCGAATATCAGTGGATCTTCTATACAAATAACAAATACAACTTCAATACCAGTGTTTGGTTCTAGTACAAGTTTATCCACTTCGGGAATAACCAGTGGTGGAACAAACAGCGTCGGTAGTAATTTATTTTCAAATGTGAACTCAACTACTTCGGCATCTATATTTCCTACAACAAATAATATTTTTGGTCAAACAAATTCAACAGGGAATTTCAAAAATAATCCAGGAGTATTTGGAAATAACAGTGGTTCTGCGTTATTCGGTTCGCATCCAACTACATCGTCTACATTTGCTACTGCAAATGTTTCAAGCAATTCTACTGTTTCTACTTTCGGTTCTACAAATATTTCCGTAAGCAACGCATCCGTCCCAACTTTTGGCGCTACAAATACTGTTACTTCTGATTTTGGATCACAAAATCAAAACAAAGGAAATTCAGAAGTTCAGAATTCTGATTCACAGAATTTTGGTGTCAGAAATTCAATATTCAGAGGCGAGAATACAGCTGGTCCCGTGTTCGGAGCTTCAAATAGTGGCACCAGTCATTTCAATTCTTCTGCATCAAATAATACATTTTCTGGACAGAATACCTCTATTTCATCAAATCCTACATTTGGTATGACAGCAACTGGTACTCCAAACGGTACAGCAACATTCGGAGACAACAAGGTTTCGCCATTCGGATCACAATCTTCGACATTTGGAACTCCTAATATAACGAGTCCCACCTTTGGAAATACTAACGCGAATGAAAATAATACTACCAGCAATATATTCACTTTTGGGGCAAATCAAAAGCCACCACAACAAAGCACTACTGTATTTCCTTTCGGTACCAATAGTAATACTAACAATAATGCTGCTATTGGTGCAGCTGCTTCTACTTCCTCACCTTTCCAATTTGGCACAACAACGTCGAATTCAGGTAAGATTTTCCATTTTGATTGTATAATTATAATTTTTTCCTTTTCACAATTACTAATATAATGTATTTAAAATAAATCAGCTACAGGATTTAATTTCTCCGCTCCATCAACAACTCCATCCATTAATTTTGGAACAACGAGTTCTACATCAACATTCAATGCTCCCACACCTGGTATGTTCAGCATCGGAAGTGGTTCTACTGCTCCAAGATCCAGGAATATACGGACTAGAAAATTGAGATGATGGAGAATGTAAATCTTGCTAGCCTTTTACATAAAGTTCTTCATCGAAATACATAAACGCGACGTTTAATTTTTTAATAATGTTATTCTGTAATTCTAGCATCATAATTTCATAGATTCGTATCAAGTAATGTTTCAAATCGATGCAATTCTATTTGACTGAGAACAGAATTATAGAATAGAATTATCATTTTAATTTTACATTTTTCGCCATTGTTAAACCTATCCACCTTGTACATATGAAAATGTTAAAGCAGATTTTTATCTATCAGTGATTAAAGTTTGCTTAAATTGCATTATTTAGAATACATAATACATATATACATATACAAATACGCACATATATATATATATATAGAAAAATAAAACGCGTGATTGTTTTATTAAAAAAAAATCTAACATTAAAATCGTGTTCATTTATAGAACACTGTATATTTAACATTCATTAATCCAGTGATTGCAAACAAAATTATTATTTATTCTTACAAAGTACCAAGTTGATAAATATTAAAGATTAAACTTTATTTAAGTGGCATTTATAATATTCAATTAAAAAAGTAAAACTAAAGAGAATTTTGAATATGATATTATGATATTTAAATTTGTTTTGCAAAAATGAAGAAAGTTAAACAAACGAAGTTTGTATATTTTGATAATGTAAAGAAAAATGATTTTCAAAAATCCTCACTATTTCGATAAATATATTTTTAGATTTGAAAATTGAAATTAATATTGTTAATTCTAATCGTATTTTTTAAGTTCAGTATTCTTAAATTGTTTATAAATTTGATCAGTAGTAGAAATATTTATATTTCCTATTTGGTACGTATTTCGCATTCGAAATTAAAACTTATTCATTGAAACGACAATTATTTATCTTGTTTCTCCGAGAGAAACAAATAAATAATTTGAAAGATGAATGGATCAAAAAAAAAAAAAAAAAAAAAAAAAAAAAAAA